TGCACATGTAGACATCCCCCCTGAGCAGGAAATGGCTCCATCACTTTTGGACAAGGTCCAGTCTGGCTCTGACAATCACCCAGGGAATTACTTTCTTCTGAATCCAACATATCAATGCTAAGGGCATTTTCTGTTATAATGATGGCTGGGGAAACCACTGTATATAATGCTTGGACTTAAAGCTGTACAGTACTGGATTGTCACAGTCACTTGGTGAAAGAAAATATCAGCAGCAAATATCCAAATCATTGGTTTGTTTGAGCAGTGTTTGAGCAGCTCTCAATCCCTCATTCATCTTCCTCACAAATGATCACAAAACAAAGTAAGCTCACAGCATCTCTGTATAATCCACTGCCAATAATCTTTTCACTCAGACTTTCTCTCCATTTGGCCCTGGATTATTTTCATTGCCCCCCATCTGAGATGCAATATTTCTGGAGTCCCTTTGATTTTGTCTCCTGCATCTACCTAAGCTACAACACCTGTCCTTTATCTCTGTTTCCAATGACTTTGCTAAATATTATGTTCCCTCAAAGATAATAGGCAAACCAGAGACCCTCCTATTACATGTGTTTTGTCCATGGCCTCATTGTTCTGTTAGCCCCTGCAAAGCCAAGTCTAAACACTCTGTTCCCATTTCTCATCAGCCAGACAGAAGAAAACTGCAACTTATTCTGAGCTGAAATTTCAGGACCTGCCTGAACAACAGAGAAGTGAAAGAGCTCAGCAGACAGAGTGCAGAGAGACTGAGGGCAGCCTAAACCTGGGCTGGAGAAATAAGGGTAACATTTTCCTAGTTTCACAACAGCATTTGGCCTTCACACTTCTGTTATCACCTTATACACAAAAACTTTCCACACCCAGGTTGTGCACTATGTCCTGAATCCATCTGCTGCATGATACCTCTGCCATGTGACTTCTCACCTGAGTCATCCTGTAGCACAGTGCCTCCCTACAGCTTGTAAACAGCCAATTTACTGTTCCTTTACCCTGCACAATAAATGCCCCCTAAAGGTACTTTTTAAAAAATGTTCCTTGTCTTGGAGCATTTAAGGGGCCAGCTTTTCTGTCCAACCAATCAGTCAAAGAATCGTACTTTGATGTTAAAGGAAATCTGAGCTTGTTCTCAGATAATAGCCTGACTGGAACTGCTGGGAAATTAAAAAACAAGGAAACAAAAAAAAAGGTGATGTACCCCAGAAGTCAATCAGACATTTGCTACACCACTTACTACATATGTCAACATGGGAGAAAAATTACATAAGAATTCAAAATGATCTTCCTTAATATCATAAAGGTAAAGCCCTTGGGAGCCTCCTAGTCCTTGTTTCAAAACATTTGGAGTTTTGTGCTCCAGACCTCCAGGGTCAGAGCCTAATGCACCCCCATGAGAGCAAATGCAGCTCAAATGCACTTACTTGCCCTGCTAACCATACTCATAACACACTTTCCATACTGGCTGCACTACTTGGTTAGGACATGACCCTGTGTTATATAACTTGGTATAGCAAACATACACACATATTAAGATGATGCACAGGTGATTTATTCTAGTTAAAAACTGTAACAGGAAACTACCAGATTTTAGTCCTTGCAGAAAACAACTAGAAAATCACATCTCAGCCTGCTGTGGGGAGTCACATGAAGGTACTTTGGCCATTTGGGATTTTCCCTATGAATCTGTTCTTTGGTACCTCCAACTGTCCGGACAGTGCTGCTCTGTCCCTAGGGTATCAGCTATAAGGCAAGGCAGCTAAATGCCATGGTCTACCTGTCCCCACTAATGCTATGATCCAGTGTTAATCACTAGGGCTACTATTCATATTTACTTGACTGTAGACAGTGACAGTGGGAAAAATTGGTTCAGATATTTCACCAAGTGTTGGACTAGCAAAGAGGGCATGTTTAGAGTGTTTACAGCATCCTGACTGCCCTGCCCATGAAGAATTGTTCATTCAAGAACTTAGAGATGGTATGAAACAGTGATGACACCCCAGAATCGTGTCCATGCTCACAAACCATGTTGCTGCATAAGTATGCACACAACTACCGAGCATTTCCCTCCTACCATTGCTCTGGTTCCCTGTTCCAGTAACTAGTTCAACTGTTGTTGCCTTCACATCATCCCTTTCCATGACTGCACAAACAAGACTTGCTTCATACATTTGTTTGCAGAAGAATTCTGTCAAAACACTTTCCCAGGGACATGGCCCAGAGCCTTCTTGACATATTGCTCTCTTCTCCTGCCACCCCATTCACTATTTTTCATCAAGCACAACTGTTTCTAGGAGTCATTTAAAAAAGATGTCCACACAAGCTTTTTCCCTCTCCCTTTCCAAGATATCTTATGTGACACAGAGTGTTTTCTGTATTTAGCTGTTGTCAATTTTTATGATGCATTAATTGTATTTCTTTACCAGATCCATCAGCTACACCTCTTCACTGGCAGCTTGCTACACTTGTCCTTGGAGTTCTCTGCCTAATTTTATTGATCTCAACAGGATTTTTGTTTTGCCAAGGTAAGTTCATAGGGGAGGAATCACTACAGCTCTGACAGGAGTCCTTTCAATGTTTTAGAGGGCAGGCAGTTTTTTTCTGATGACTCTAGGAAGGGGCTAACATGCTATATTATTTGCAGTATATCACTCAAATAGTAGATGTCTCTATGGGCTATATCCAGTATTAAGCAGAGTGCAGCACCTGGGGAATGAGGGAGACAAAGCTGGGACATGAGCTGAGTGGAAGCTTATTAGTTTACATGTGGTTGCAGTATCTTTCTTTATAAACACATTCCTACTCTGGATGAACAGTGATCCCATGACTCACTGGGCACCAGAATACAGCAGGACTTTGGGTATTATATAACCCACAGTCGTGGACCCTGAAGCCCTCCCCTCGATGTGGGGGAGTTAGATACATGAAGGAAAATCTTGGCTTGTCCATGTGAAAACAAATAAACTAAAATGCACTGAGATAATACAAAAGGGGTAGTAGGGCACTGAATTTCACTCCTGCACAAAAGGACTGTGGTTTTGGAACTGTGGTTTTGGAAGTATTTTCAAACCAGGTTGGGGGAAAAAGCCCACACCTGGATATTTATTACAGAAATTAAATTGCTCCGTATCTTGTGTCAATGCCTTGAAGTCCTGGGAGCCCCAGGTCTATGGAAAGCCCCTAAAAATGCTATGAAAGAGCCTGGAAACCTTCACAGCCATGACTGCACCAGGTAGGCATGGAAGGAACCAGAAAGCCTGGGTCACCCCTTAGATCTTGATTTATCCAGGTTCCCCATATGGAGCACAAGGGAAGCAGGTGGGAAGGGATCGCAGGCACATTGCATTGGGCGCATCTACACACACGAACGCTGCTGTCTCCTGGTGTGGCCTGGAAAATTGGTCCCTGCCCACAGGAGCTGCCTGATGCCAGGGCAAGCTCCGATGGTTGAGCCCGGGCTGGGACAATGTCCCCCTGACCCAGCAAGAGGGAGCTCCCAGCTCCCTAATCAGGGGCAAGGGGCTTGAAAGGAGCCTGTGGGGGAGGGGCAGGTCCCAGCCCCCTGTCCCGATCTACCAGTGAGGCAGCTATCAGTGAGCCTCCAACTGGGTGAGGATTCCCACCCTGCCATGGGCCTCACTGCTAGCTGCCCCATCAGTAGATTGGGGCAGGGGGCTGGGACCTGCCCCTCCCCCTGCAGCTTTTTCCAAGCCCCCTGCCTGGATTGGGGCTGGGAAACAGCTGCAGGGCTGGCACCAGAACAGTTCCCAGCCAGTCCTGGGCTGCATGGGGAAGTCTTTGTGTAGTATTTTCAACATACAGAGTTCAGCAAGCCCTAGATGAATTGTTTACCAGTTAATCATCACCCATTTTCAATTCTTTCCAGTAACGACAGTGTTGTATTTTTTGTCAAATGAATGTTTTTTATGCAACATGGAAGTCATTTGATATTACAGCAAGCCGGCTATCTTACTACTTTAATTAATTTAGCTGCACTTTTGCAAATTATTAGCAGTACATTCCCTACTGTAAAAAGAGCCATTGCATCACCTTCTAACCAGGAGAGCAAGGATTTGGTGGTTGGTTCACATGACTGGAATATGGATATAGATCTTAAAAGTCTGCACAGAAAAAAACCCCAACAAACAGCTGATGGCCTTGTATATGACAGGTGTAGTAAAGCCAAGTTAATCCGTCAATCCAAAGGGATTGGTAATTACAACGAATTATCCAGGAGTAGCTACTTCTCTCTCCTTTCAAGAGGTGTATTTTGCATGCCACATGGAGATACTCTAAAGAACGCTCTTTGTTATCTGTAAGGAAGAAAAAGAATATTACAGAAATGGGAGTGCAGTTTGAGCACATGTTAAGAGGACTGTTGCATGCAAGTCACAGGAAGTGGTTCATGCCCTCCATACAGCACCAAGGAGGCCTCATCTGGAGAACCGTGCCCAGTTCCTTCATTTTCAGGACAGGGGGACTAATGGGAAAGTGGAGCACAAGTAACAGAAAATAGAGGTTTAGGAAACATAAGTGTGGGGGGGTTAGATAGTCTGGAGATGGAAACTGAGGAGGAATTTGGTAACAGTCTTCAAATACAAAAGGGGGTTTCCACAGGAGAGACCATCAGTCTTTCTCTCGGCTCAGGATAAGAAGTAATGGTCTCCCTGGTTTGTTCTGATTATTGATGGACATGTTTTCACTCAGAAGGACACCTAAAAATGATGGTTGACTGACTGGTGTCAACCTACAATCAGAATGATGTGGGACAGATGCCCTGAGCAGGACTCTGCAGGGCTCAGTAGGAAATGCATTTTATACATTGCCACACTCCTCCCAAAAACAAGCCAAGAAGTGCTGCCCTTTGCTAAACAGTGACACTGTTTCAACCATTGCAATAATAGACATGGTTGTGCTGTCCTCTTGTTTAAGTCAATGACTGGCCGTGGGAGCAAAGAAACCGCACGGAGCAACAGGGACACCACAGCCAGCAGCTGACGACCTGCCAACCCCAAAGCACGGGCTGTCCAGACATGCCTCAGGACCTGCCTCCTCACCAAGGTAAGTCCTGGAGTCAAAACTTCTGTATCCTCAGCGCAGATCCAGACCTGTCTGTCAGGCAAGCCTTGCGTTGCAGTGTCATCCTCAGTGCCAAGGAGGGATGGCTGGGAATGAGGAAGTCTCATTGGGATCCTGCCATGAGTTCCAGTTACAGACACGGGTCGAGGATAGAGACACATCACTGGCTCCCTTCTCAGTGCAGCCCTCTCAGATTTCCTCCCATTGCCAAACTGGGGGAGTACTGAACTGCCCCAGTGAACGGACTCCCCTCCACTGATCTGGAAGTAGGAGGGGGTCCTTGCATCCAGCAGGAGTGGGTGCTACTTCTCTAGAGAGCTTTTGACAAAATGTTACTTCCCCAGAAGTCACAAATTCACTGAGACCAACCCCTTCTTGAAACAAGATTGCTTAGACACATTTCTAAAGCAAAGTTACTGCTGGACAGTTTCAAAATTGTTGAAGTGACATTTTTCACCAGCATTTTAAAACAAATAATCCTCGTGCAGCCATTTAACTTGATGCTTCATTCCAAAATGTAAGTTCATGAGCTTTTAAAGGTGTATAAAACCCAAACAGAACAGAATGAAATGCCTAGAAATCAACCAAAAGAACATGTTCTGGGAGAAACATGGATTTTGAATTCAGGGAATATTTTGCAACTGTGCCCTTTGTCCCGCCGTGGGGCAGGAATCAATTTCAAGCTCTGATAAGTTAACACTAGATAGGTGGAAAAGCCTCCTGGGGATGAGGGGCCTAGCCTGGCCTTGCCAAGATAGTGGTGGTTGCCTGGCCTCTTACCTTTCCTATGGCTGTGGAAACCAGCCGTGCTATTCCTTGCATGGCAGCATCCGCCACTCCAGGAGGGGGAAGGCCCCTTCCCCTTCAGCTGTGTGGGGAAAATGCACCTCTTCCCACAGCTGGGCCCAAGAGACGCAAGCAGTGGAGGTGGTGGAATCAGGAGAGCATGAAATCCCCGTTTTCATGATGTCAATGTCCCTAGCATTGAAAATATGTGTGTGGGGGTGGGGGTGAGCTAATTTGTGGTGTGTGAGTTTGTTGCAGGGGAGCAATGTCCATCACGGTGGAGTCGTATGAAAGACAAGTCCTACCTCTTTTCTCCTGAAAAAAGAACTTGGGCACACTGCAAATCCTCCTGCATTTCTCAGGCTGCCAAGCTGCTCATGGTTGATAATCAGGAGGAACGGGTGAGTATGTATCCACTTTAACATATCAGTGCAAATCAGCCAGGTGGATGGAGTGAGAGAGGATACAGGGCCTGGACCTGGGCTTTCTGTGGGCAAATCTCATCTGGGTACTTCCAAGAGCAGTGTCCTGAGGGCTTGGAGGTCTGCAAAGCATAGTGCACATTAGACGGCTGTCTGACTGGAACGGTGAGGGGTAGGAATTAGGGAGTCATTTAAATATCTATATGCTTCATTTCTTTTCATGTTTCTGTTTAGCTGTGGGTGTAATTGTACAATATTACTAGAATATGTGTCAGAACAAGTATGGCCAGCATGGCACTGGCCCTTATGCAGGGGCAGAGTAATCCTTGGAAGAGGACATTTTGCCACAATGTGCAGTGATGAGGGTAGACCACGGCTCTGTTGGCTGCTAGCCCCTGGGGAGCAGGATGTCCTGCTGTGCCCTGGTGTTCAAACAGGGAGTGCGTCTGACTCACGGTCCATCTAGACTAAAGGAAAAGCACTGATATCCTGAATGACCCAATACAGATCTGGGCCTAACTGGCACAAAGGTCCCTTCAGTCTGCACATTTGGCTGGACTTTTAAGTCTGACTGGCACCTGGAAAAAAGCAATGTGTGATGGAAAAAAAAAAAAAAAAATTAAGGCAAAATCCATTGGCAGGGTCCCATGTACAGGTGTTACTTCCGTAGACATGAAATTCCATTTTCTGCCCTCAAGCCTTGTATGAGCAGAGTTATCCACAGCTCCAGGGTCAAGTTCCCTGTCATCCTCCCTCTCCTTGTTTTGCCCAGTCTCTATCTTAGGTGCTCTGCTGCAGGGTGGATGTTGCTGGTGACTGGAGGGTGGGTGACTCTGCTGTCTCTGAGATTCTCTGAAACATCTTCCTTGAGTGCTGAAGGAGCTGGACCCTGCCAGTGAGACTGGCTGAAGGTGGTGCCCTGCATTGCCCCACCATGTGCTAAGCTCTCAGGCTCTGAGATCGAGCAAGAAGATATGGACTAGTGGATCTATCTTCACCTCCTCCCTTCTCTACCCCAGGAGGGTTGCTGAGGAACAGGCCCT